TGGAAACAGCACAAAAGCCGCTCTGCACACCAACTTCCTCCCATCAGCCATCCGGAAGAGGAAGTTCCTCTGCGCGTCTCCTCTCCTCCCAGCCTTTCTAGCAATGCAGTACTTGATGATTTTAACTCCTTAAACACAACCTCAGGCGCCGCCTGCTGTACTGTCCGCTTTCTAGTTGCCTGTTTGAGCGCCATCTCCAGACAGGCAGAAAAACGCGCTTGTCCCCCCTCTTATCTAAGGCGGTTGCAAGAGGTTTTCACTGATTAAATGCTACCGTCATTTTTGACTTCTGGCAACTGACCCAAACAAAAGAGTGAAATGTGATACCTCTAAGCTTACGAAGATTAGCTACGTGCTGAGCCCTGAAAGTTCATGACATTTTATTTTTTCATTTATTTTATTTTATTTGTAAAGCATATATAAGAAAACATATAAAAGCATAAACGTAATTGGAATACATGAAAAGAATAAGAGTAAAAAGGGACATGAGGACAGGAGCGATGGTGCGCTTAGGCCTTACAGACCCCTTAGGAATGGGGTGAGGTCAACAGTAGACAGTCTAAGGTTAAAGTTTTGGGGGTTTGGGGAAGAAATCAGAGAGTCTGCTAGGATAATTAGAACTGCAGAAAAAACAATTGCTACCAACCTGCCTTCCATTGAGGACCTGCATACTGCACGAGTCAAAAAGAGGCTGTGAAAATATTTACAGACCCCTAAACTGTTTCAACTCCTACCCTCAAAATGAGGCTATAGAGCACTGCACACCAGAACAACTAGAAAACAAGAACAGTTTTTTACTGAATGCCATCACTCTGCCATGTATTTAATTCCTTCAACACTGTCAAACTATTTACTAAGTCTGCACTCTTTTTTTTATTATTGAAGTTTTACAAAAAAAAAGATTTTTCCCCCAATATTCCCCCCACCCTTTTTCCCTTCCCCCACCCCCCACCCCTTCCCCGCATCCCACCCTCCTTTCCCCCCCCCAAATCTATTCACGAGTCTTATGCAATGCTGTTTTAGAAATGAAACATCTACTGTACAATTTTGTTTGTCACATTTCCCTATCAAGGGGGGAAACACAAAAGTATCAATCCCTTGGTTCTGCTCACACCTCCCAGCCATCAAAGACTAACAAGGAGGAACCTCCAAGCGAAGGAGATCACAACAGGAGTTGCGAATGAACCTGGAGATCCTGTACTCAAAAACACAATCCCTTTCCTCAACTCAATATTCCTACAGCTCTTCTCCATGAAGGTCACATGCAAGGCAGAGTAGCCTTTGCATCTGAAATTTTACACTGCTTTTGTCACTGCCCCAAACTCCCCCAATATATTTGCTATTCATCTGGTTTCTTCCACTTGCGTGCCTCATTCACAATCTGAGCAGACATGCTTGGTGTAATGAATTGTTAGGAAAAGATAAACTATTTCTCTTTCCTCTTGTTTTCTCCTTCCATGAGGACCCACAATCTCTAACTACAGCCTGAGCGCTCTTATCCCGAAGAGATGCTGCCTGGGAAATTCTGGGGTGGAAAATCTCGAGGATACCCAGGAAGAGAAAGGCTGGTACTCTGCATGTGGCATTTCTATCATTTATTATGATAAAAATGCAGAGAACACTCCTAAAATTATTTTTGCAGAATTGCACAATTTCTGCAGAAATAAATACCCAGCAACTTCTGCTGCTGATGGCCAGCCAGACAGCCATTATCAAACTAACATGTTCCAATTTTTTCTTTCCTCCTTCCCATCTAAGACTATGACATATTTGATGACAAAAACAATCAAGCAAATTCTTTCTGGTCAAATTGAAGAGTTAATTTCTCAGCTGGACTTAAAATTCAAGCCTTTACACTCATCACTTTAGGTCAGAGGTTCCCAAACTTTTTCAGTCCACCGCCCCCTTGATACTACAAACTCACCCTCAGTTCCCCCCACCCAGGGGTGGGTTCTACTTACCTTTACTACCGGTTAGCAGTGGGGCCTCGAATGCTCACTTCGCTCACGCATGCACGCACTCTTCTGCACATGCACAGAAGCGTTTTGGTGATGTTGGGGTCGGTGGGCGGGGCCTCCTGCCAGTTTTACTGCCCACCACTGCCCCCACCCCCACCCCCTATAAATAGCATTGTTCGGAATAGCGGTTTGCATGACCCACTAAGGAAGACAGTAACAATAAAATACACGGAATACAGACATTTTTGGCCTCCTGAAGCCTTGCCCCGCATGTCCCATTTTTGTGAAAAACGGGCCCGTTTTTGGCAAAAACAGTGTGCAGAGACCCTTTGGGAGGTCTGCAGGCTGCTCCAATACAAATTTATCCCTGAAACAAAGATAACTAACACTATTAGTTAACGCTAGAGAAATCCCCTGAATCAACCAATCTAGAGCAGTGATTCTCAGCTGGGGGTTCCTTTTGAATTTGCTGACCACCAGCGAGTGGGAGAAAGCAATTTCACAGAGGAGGGGATGGAGAGGGCTGTGGGATGAATTCACACCCATTCCCAGACCCTCTTGGGATCAACCTGCAGCCCTCCCCTGCCTCCTCAGGCAGTGGAGCGTGTGTGGGGGGGAATTCTTTTCAAGAAGTCACAAGGAGGGCTGAGGGCTGGTTTCCGCCCCACAAGTAAGATTTGGTCCAGAACCAACCCCAACATGAAGGTCTTTTATTTGCTCCTTGTACTCCTTGTCTTTGCATTTTTAACAGGTAATAAATTAAATTTCTGATGATGTAAAAATAGCTCATAACTCACCTTTCTAGACAGCTATTATCATGTCTAAAAGCAAGATACTCTTCTCCATCTTTTGTCTGGAGTACCATTTAATCCAGAGCCTTTGAATTCCAGAAGTCCAAGTTTAAAGAATGGACTTCTGGAATTAAAGCTCCATTTTTTAGCTAAAATTTAATTCACACCCCTTAGTTTTGCTTGAGCAGTATGATCCTCCAAAGGTCTGAAAAATATATCATTGATTTTCTTTTGGCATTTAAACTAGATAACCAATGTGAAAAAGTGCATCAAGGAAGGACTGGAAAGCCAATTCATACTGAACTGTATTGGGTTTTCTGTTGTTATTTGAATAAAAGGAAAAGAAATCAAATAGTGGTACCTAGTGCGAAAAAAGAGATGAAATAATGGGTCATTCTCAACACTTGAATTCTCTACACTTAAAATATCTAGAAATTATTATGGTTAAGTGAGTTTTGCCCCATTTTACGATTTTTCTTGGCATAGTTCAAATCAGAGTTCAAATCAAAGATTTGATAGTTTAAATCAGAGATTTGATAGTTCAAATCAAAGATTTCTGAGACCAATGTTGAATATTTCAGTAGTCACCAATCCCAGTCTTAAAATGAGTTTAGAATCAGTGGGAGTCACTGATAACAATGAACTACTAGCTACTGATAATGAGTCCAGTCCTGCCTTTCTTTTCCTTCTGTCCAAGTTTTGCAAGTACTTTTTCCAGGTATATGTTTTATTCCAAAGTATACAAACCATTATTGTTAGGGAAAAATGGGTCTTCCAAGCAATTTTAAAAGACACTGTCAGAATGACTCTACTCTCAGCCCCCCTTGTGGCTCCTTGAAAAGCATCCCCCCCACATATGTAAATGAAAAGAATAAGCTTAAAAATCCTAGCCTTTTAACATGGAAAATATGGAGAATTAGGAGGATGAATATGAGACACTAAGGGAGATGTTTTAAAAAGTAAGGGAGGCATTTAAGGGAAATAAAGAAGCAGAGAATTGGTTAGCTTGCAAAAAAAAAGAAAGAGAAAACATGAATGAGAAGCAAGAGAAACAAGGAGATAATATTGAAAAGGAAATAATTGGGGAAAAAAGATAAAGATGATTACACTGGGTCCAATAGTGATAGAATAAAAATGGATATGGGAAAATTCATCTCAAATATGAAGAAAAGAGAAATAAATGGGGTAAGATGGAGAATGAAAAGTAATAGAGTTAAAATTAAAGGAAAAAGGCTGAAAGGGAGATATAAGAACAGGAAAAAGAAGAAGGTAAAGAAATGGGAGAAAGGGAGGAAAACATCAAGAAAGAGAACTGTGGAGAGACTAAGAGAAAATGGTTAAGAGTCAGTGAAAACGTTAATTAGTTAATAAAGAGAAGGATGCTAGTTGTAGAAATTATTTGCGAAAATGCTGTTAAATGAAAAAAAGAAAAATGTTATCCAAGCTACAACTTAATCCTTTTTACTTTCAGTACCATATATCATTAAAGGTATTTCGATTGTTACAGTTTATACTTATTCATATTTCTAAAAAAAAAAGAAAGAAAGAAAAACTTATCATTTTCAGCATAGCTTGACTACAACGGGGAAAAAAAATCTGCTCCGACACTCTTTGCAAGCAGCAGAGCCCTGCGCAAAACAGCTGACAGAGTCGGGAGGCCAATGTAATCAACTTGTGCTAATTAGCCTATGCTGAAGCTGAAAGGAGCTGTTTTTTCTTGCTGTTTGCTGGCAAGGAGGTAACTGCTGCAAGGCACAGGCCAAAGGGTGGGGGCCACCTTCCGCCACCCTCCTTGCCACTTAGCGCCCCCCTGCTGCCTCCTTTTGCCTCTAGCGTCCCCTGCTGCCCCCCTTGCCTCTTACTGCCCCCCTAAGTCATCCCACCGCCCCCCACTTTGGTACCGCCCACTTTGGGAACCACTGCTTTGGGTCATCACTTATCACTTTGGAAAATCCATCTGCATTTTCTTGTATACAATAAGGGTGGAATGTTTCCTGAAGCACCGTCCACTCTTGGGGCACTTAAATGGTTTCTCCCGTGTGTATAAGCACATGATTTAAAAGGCTAGTCTTAGTACTGAAATCTTTCCCACAGTCTGGGCACTCATATGGTTTCTCTCCTGTGTGAGTCCTCTGGTGTTTCACCAGGCTGGAATTGTGACTGAACCTTTTCTCACAATCAGGACATTCAAATGGTTTCTCCCCTGTGTGAGTCCTCTGGTGTGTCACCAGGCTGGAATTGCAACTGAAACTTTTCCCACAATCAGGACATTCAAACGGTTTCTCTCCTGTGTGAGTCCTTTGGTGTGTCACCAGGCTGGAATGGCGACTGAACTTTTTCCCACAATCAGGACATTCAAACGGTTTCTCTCCTGTGTGAGTCCTTTGGTGTGTCACCAGGCTGGAATTGTGACTGAAACTTTTCCCACAATCAGGACATTCAAATGGTTTATCTCCTGTGTGAGTCCTCTGGTGTGTCAACAGGCTGGAATTGTGATTGAACCTTTTCCCACAATCAGGACATTCAAATGGTTTCTCTCCTGTGTGAGTCCTCTGGTGTGTCACCAGGCTGGAATGGCGACTGAACTTTTTCCCACAATCAGGACATTCAAATGGATTCTCTCCTGTGTGAGTCCTCTGGTGTATCACCAGGCTGTAATTGCAACTGAAACTTTTCCCACAATCAGGACATTCAAACGGTTTCTCTCCTGTGTGGGTCCTCTGGTGTGACACCAGGCTGAATTTATGACTGAAACATTTCCTACAATCAGGACATTCAAATGGTTTCTCACCTGTGTGAGTTCTCTGGTGTTTCACCAGATTGGAATTTTTATTGAAACTTTTCCCACAATCAGAACATTCAAAGGGTTTCTCTCCTGTATGAGTCCTCTGATGTATCACCAGCTCATAATGGTGCCTGAAACGTTTCCCACAATCTGGACATTCAAATGGTTTCTCTCCTGTATGAGTCCTCTGGTGTGTCACCAGGCTGTAATTGTAACTGAACCTTTTCCCACAATCAGGACATTGAAAGGGTTTCTCTCTTGTGTGAGTCTTCTGGTGTTTCACTAGACTGGAATTCTGACTGAAACTTTTCCCACACTCAGGACATTGAAAGGGTTTCTCTCCTGTGTGAGTCCTCTGGTGTATCACCAGACTGTAATTGTGATTGAAACTTTTCTCACAATCAGGACATTCAAACGGTTTCTCTCCTGTGTGAGTCCTCTGGTGTTTCACCAGACTGGAATTGAGACTGAAGTTTTTCCCACAATCAGGACATTCAAACGGTTTCTCTCCTGTGTGAGTCCTCTGGTGTGTCACCAGGCTGGAATTGCGACTGAAACCTTTCCCACAGATAGGGCATTCAAAGGGTTTCTCTCCTATGTGAGTACTTTGTTGTCTCATGAGGTGGTAATTTCCAATGAAACTTTCACACAATTTGGACATTCTTATGTGATGGGTGTCCTGTAATGTATCACCATATTGCCATGCTCACTAAAGTATTCACATCGGGAGCACTCGTATGGCTTCTCTCCTGTGTGGGTCATTCCATGAACCACAAGGAAGCTGTTCTGACCAAACTTTTTGGCATATTCAGATAATTTGTATGGCTTTTCTCCAGTTGGGATCTTCTTGTTTAATCAGCTATGATTTGCAATCTGTGCTTTTTCTACAATAGGCAGATCTATGGAGCTTTTCCACAACTGATATTCTTGAGGTCAAAAATATGTGTGATCTATTGTTTAATAGTGTTTTGATTAAAGCCGTTTGCTTCTTCCCAGAGCAAGGCCTGTATGTGCCCTGCCCAATAAGACCTTTTCCTTCCCCCTAACTTCCAACTATTTCCATCTTTTTCTGAATGAAAAATATTCTTCCTTGATCTTTCATGCAATGTATCCTTGAGTTTCGTATCCTCTACTTTTTCCAGCTCAAAATCTCATGTTAATTTTCTCTCTTTTGTCTATTAGCTGCTGGAGAAGGAGAATTGTGTGGTTTTCTGAAGGAGCTGGAATATATTTTGATTTCTGGCTCAATTTTATTTCCTTTTCAAGGTTGCTTGTTATTCTCAGTTGTTCAGAGTGCTCTTATTGCCATCCTCTTTGTCTATAAGTTTCAAAGAAAAGTGTAACTTTAATTGTGTATAAAATGGTTACAGAAGATGTAAAAAAAAGTATACATTACAACAAAAAAGCAAACATGCCACAATGCCAGAATAGTCTCTTACATTGATTATGATTCATTTGACACATGGAAGAGTACCAAGATATCTATTCAACCATGAAATTATGTTGTTGACTTGGGTCAATCATAAATTCTTGGCACTGAAAAGGCTTATCCTCAAATATATCTTTATGTACTGAGGATATATTATATAATTGCAGATATATGCATATAGAAAGAAATACAGATACAAACACCTACAAATGAATATATGTGGAAGCTCCATGAGTTTTCAGCCTGACAAAATGTCCCAAAATAGTTAATGTCAAACCTTCTGAGCTAAATTTAGAGATGTGGCGTTTGAACCGAGGAAATGATGCCAAAAGCCTCTGCAAGATTTGAAGCACCAGTTTTGCTCATGAAAGTCCTCAGCTGCAAATAAGAGAAGAAAATGCTGTCTACAACCCCTTCTGGTGACATCCCAATTCAAGCAATCCTGACTTACTGAGTGCAATTGGGACTGGCTTCTGTGTCACTAAGCAGCCGGTCATGAAGCATGATGTCACATGACAGTGCCAACTTGCATCTGTTCCACAAACTGCGACTTGCAATTTCCTGCTGGCATCCCTACTAATTTTGCTTCAGAATCTAGCTGAGAAGGTCACAAACGGGGATCCTGAGTGTGGGATGCTGCAGCCATCATAAATGTGCAATGGTTGGCAGAACCCAAGTTGGTGTCTCTCCTTTTCCTGCACCTTCATAACCACAGGAATGTTTTTTCAGAAAAACAGGCCAAAAAAAGCTTCAAAAACGAGCCAGAAAAAAAGCCTCAAAAACGGGACAGAAAAGCCTCAAAAATTGACCAAAAAAAACGTCAAAATAACCCCCAAAAAGCAGGCCAAAAAAAGCCTCAATACCCCCAAAAACCTCACAAACGGGCCAAAAAGCGTCAAAAACAGCCCCCCAAAAACCTCAAAAACGGGGGGGGGGAGCCTCAAAAACAGGGAAAAAAGCCCCAGAAACAAGCCGAAAAAAGCCTCAAAGACGAGCTGAAAAAAGCACTCAAAAATGGGCTGAAAATAGCCCCAGAAAAAGACCGAAAAAAGGCTGGAAACGGCCCGAAAAAAGGTAGGCCAAAACCTTTTTTTATTGTTTTCCTCTTCCAAATTTAGGTGCGTCTTATAGTCAGGTGCGTCTTATAGTCCGAAAAATACGGTCAGTAGAAATACCGTGCTTTTGGCAAGACCTGGAAATTAAAAAACATAAACCCTAGAAAAAAACTAGTGGCAGAATCAGTGCAATTTGGTTGCCAAGAGAATAGCAAGCCCGTAACAGAATAGGTTATGAGTTGAAAGGGACCTTGGAGGTCTTCTAGTCCAATCTCCTTCTCAGGCAGGATACCCTATAACATTCCAGACAAATGGCTGGCCAATCTTGTCTTAAAGCACGAGTGTCAAACTTGCCATGTCATGTTGCCGTCACGTGACATTTTGTGACATTCTACCCATTTATGGAGCTGGGGTGGGTGTGGCCTGCATGTCACGCATCCAGCCCATGGGCCGCCAGTTTGTCACCCCTGTCTTAAAAGGTTCCTCATGAATCTAGATGACAACTTGTCATCCAAAAGGTAGAAAAGGGAACTAAGGATCTCCTATAGCGATCTAAATTTTTACTAGCAGAGAGGAAATTATAAAGGGGTGGGGGGTGAAGTTGCAGATAAATAGGGGGAAGAGTGACCATGTCATACTGGAATTCAATATAATGCAGACACAAGCAATCGAGCAAAATCAAACTAATGTCTTAGACTTTAAAGCAGCTGATTTTAACAAACCAAGAGACAGCTTGGGAAGGATTCCATGGATGAAAATCTTAAACGGGAAAACAACTCAAGAAGCCTGAGAAACTCTGGCTGCCTAAACAGGGGGATAGAATCGAGATCACATGAAGTATTAGTACCAATTTATAATGCTTTGATTAAGATCACACTTGGATTACTGCAACCACTTTTCATCACCACAATATAAAACAGGCGTCCAGACTCTATAAAGAGCGCAGAGAAGAGCAGAAGGGATAATTAGTGGGTTGCAGTAATTGGGAATGAATCGTCTAGTGAAAGGAAGGACTAGGGGTGACATGATAGCAGTGTTCCAATACTTGGAGGGTCAACTTCTTTTCCAAAGCACCAGAAGGACAAGACAAGAAGCAATGCATGGAAACTAATCAAGGAGAGAAAAAAAGATGGAATTAAGGAAAAATCCCATCAGTGAGAAAAATTAGCCAGTGGAAGGGAATGGCTGCAATTTTCTGCTGCCTGGAAGACTGAAAAAGTCTCTTTTGAGTGAAGGTTGATTCTTCGGGAATGGCTTCCCTCCAGAGGTTGTGGGGGCTCCATTGCTGGTGGCTTTTAAACCGACGGGACAGCCATTTGTCTGAGACGTCATTAAGACCTCCAAGGTTTCTTCCAGCTCTCTTCCAAACCTCCAGTGACGGAGCTCCCTCTGGAGGGAAACCAGCCCCAAAGGCTCAACCTGCATTGGAAGGAGGCTTTTTCAAGCTTCCCACCAGCAGAAATTGCAGCCCCCAGTTTCCCAGCCTGCAGCACCAGTGGGCTTCCATTTGGGGAGGGAAGGAACCTGCAGCAGCCGCAGCTGAGAGGCTTCAGCCCAGTTGCTTCTCCGCTTCCAGCCCAAGTTGCTCCCGGACTCTCCTCCCACCTGCTGCCCTCCACTCACCTGCCAGCTGCTGCTTCCACCATGGAAACAGCACAAAAGCCGCTCTGCACACCAACTTCCTCCCATCAGCCATCCGGAAGAGGAAGTTCCTCTGCGGGTCTCCTCTCCTCCCAGCCTTTCTAGCAATGCAGTACTTGATGATTTTAACTCCTTAAACACAACCACAGGCGCCGCCTGCTGTACCGTCCGCTTTCTAGCCACAGGTGTTGCCTGTTTGAGCGCCATCTCCAGACAGGCAGAAAAACACGCTTGTCCCCCCTCTTATCTAAGGCGGTTGCAAGAGGTTTTCACTGATTAAATGCTACCGTCATTTTTGACTTCTGGCAACTGACCCAAACAAAAGAGTGAAATGTGATACCTCTAAGCTTACGAAGATTAGCTACGTGCTGAGCCCTGAAAGTTCATGACATTTTATTTTTTCATTTATTTTATTTTATTTGTAAAGCATATATAAGAAAACATATAAAAGCATAAACTTAATTGGAATACATGAAAAGAATAAGAGTAAAAAGGGACATGAGGACAGGGACGATGGTGCGCTTAGGCCTTACAGACCCCTTAGCAATGGGGTGAGGTCAACAGTAGACAGTCTAAGGTTAAAGTTTTGGGGGTTTGGGGAAGAAACCAGAGAGTCAAATAGTGCATTCCAGGGATTGACCACTCTGTTGCTGAAGTCGTATTTTCTGCAATTGAGTTTGGAGCGGTTTACCTTGCATTTGTATCTCTTATTTTCTCATATATTGTTGTGCTTGAAGCTGAAATAATAATTGACAGTGTTGCAATATTTTCAGGATCAGACTCAATAAAGATAATAGGAGTTAGAGCTTTAAATATATTTCTTTTTAATTATGATAGGCATTCTATATTCACCGAATATTCAAGGTAGAAGCAGTTAGAATGGTGAGGGTGGCTCCTTATATATACAAGGGGTGGAGCTAGGAATGGGAGTGGTAAGTTATGAATACATTAAAGTCCAAAGAATAAGTTAACCTCTGATGTTCCATATATACATTATTTACACATTGGAGAATAAGGCATTTACATCTGACAAATCCCCCTCTAAATGCCGGTTCGTTACACAACACCAATTACATTCTGATTCAGGACAATATAATACATATAATTTAGAAGTTAAATATTTGTGTTGTTTAGAAGGTAAGGGTTTTGTTAATATGTCAGCTAATTGTTCAGAAGTATCGCAATGTATTGCTTTAATGAATCCGTCTTGAGACAGTTGTCTCACATGCTTAAACTTTATATCAATATGCCTGGACCTTTGTCCAATTGCATCGGATCTGGATATTTCAATGGCCGCTTTATTGTCTTCATGCATAATAAATGGTAAAGTGGGTTTCTTCCAAACATCAGTGATCAGATCATTGAACCATACAAGGTTATTTGCAGCCTTGGACAAACAAACATATTCCGCTTCTGTAGTAGAAGTGGCTACTAGTTCTTGTTTACCAGTATACCAGTAAACTGGACAATCATTCAATAGAAAAACATAACCAGAAGTACTCTTTCTGCATGATGTATCACCAGCCCAATCTGCATCAGCATAACAAGTAATTTTTGGTTCTCTGTCATTATTGGGTTCCAACATTAAACAAAAATCTAATGTACCCTTCAGATATCTTAGAATTCTTTTGACAGCTTCCCAATGATACAAGGTTGGTTTACTAACATATCTTGACAATAGATTGAGAGGTAATGCAATATCTGGCCTAGTCCAATTAGATATATAAAGGAGTGAACCTATAACTGATCTGTAAAATGTGTTGTCTTTAAACTCAGGGGAAGATTCATCAGTGTTTCTAAGAAAATCAGTTTGCATAGGGGTGTCACAGATTTTGGCATTATTTAAGTTACATTTGTTTAGGAGTTCGATGATTTTATCTTTCTGTGTAAGTTTGAATCCCCTTTTAGTTTTGTTAATTTGCACACCAAGGTATTTATTCACTTTACCCAGAGATTTCAGTGAGAAGTGTTCATTTAACTTATTTACAAAGATTTCCCTGCTCTCTTTATGCTTTCCAATGTATAAAATATCGTCCACGTAAATTAATACAAATTCAATATGATCATTACTCTTTTTTACAAAGAAACAGTTATCAGCAGTGGTGGCGTTGAAATCCATGGTCTTAAGTACTTTTACCAAGCAATCGTACCATCTTTTGCCGGATTGCTTTAATCCGTACAGACTCTTATTTAATAACCAAATTTCGTTCTTATTAGTGTATTGACTGTGTGGTGCTCTTACATATATTTCCTTATCTAATTTTGCATGTAAGTATGCGGTCTGTATGTCATATTGGAATACGTCCAGATTGAGTGCAGATGCTACTACAAGGGCTGTTTTGACACTCTCTGTTCTCACTGTGGGTGAATATGTATCAGTATAGTCTTCTGGATATTTTTGTGCATAGCCTTGTGCAACTAGTCTAGCCTTGTATAAGGTATTGCCTCCTTCTAAGTTCTTAATTTTATAAATCCACCTGGTACCTATAATTGTTTTATCCTTAGGTGCGATCGCAGGTGTGAATACATTTAATCCTTGTAAACTTTCCATCTCTTTTTCCATAGCTAGTTCCCATTTTTCTCTTTCTTCATGTGGAAGTTTCAATACTTCTTCATATGTATTAGGTGTTATTTGTTCTCCATTCATATGCATTATGTAATCTTTGTATTTATTTGGTATTTGGTTTCTATTGTTTCTAATAGTTCTTTCAGGCTTGCTATGGTTATCATGCAAATATCTAGCTTCCTTTTTTGTTAATGTGTCTGTCTTTATTTTATGCTGACTATTAGTCCAAGTTTTGGTTTTGTTCTTACTTTTGTTAATATTTTGATTTTCTGTTGTTCCTTCCTCGCAAGATATCGTATCTTTGCATTTATTAGGAAATATTTCATTAAGGTGCAATTTTGACCAATTGGCCTGTTCATGGAACACAGCTGTTCTGGATACTATAAATTTGTTATTACTATCAATAAATCTGTACCCTTTGGTTCCAGTTTCGTATCCCATGAATCTTAATCTCCTGGATACGTTTTCTCCCTTTCTCCTCAATTGTTTAGATATGTGTACGTCTGCAGTGACTCCAAATATGTGCATGTGTGATAATTTGGGTTTTCTATTGTACATCACCTCATATGGTGTCTTATTCACAATACTGGACCAGGTTCTATTTTGAGTGTAATTTGAATAATGTAATGCCTCTGACCAAAATTGTTTGCCTAAACCAGCATCCTCTAATGTGCACCTAATCATGGTTTGTAGTGTGGAATTTTTCCTCTCTGCAACTCCATTTTGAAATGCAGAAAAAGGATTGGACGTGAAATGTAACATTCCTCTATCCTTTAACCATTGGGAGAATTCTTTAGACATGAACTCACATCCCCTATCTGTCATAATTTGCTTTATTCTGATATTATGTTGTGTTTCTATACGTTTGTAGAATTCCTTAAATTTCTGAAATGTTTCATCCTTGTGCTTTAATGTGTAAACAAAACCATATCGGCTGTAGTCATCCACTATTGTTAGGAAGTAACGTTTTCTATAGGTAATTGAGGGACTTAATGGACCAACTAAGTCCATATGTACCAAATCAAAAATATTGTTAGTTGATCTGTTAGATTTTTTTGGTCTGGGACTGGTTTTTAGTTTGGTGGATTTACATACTGAGCATTCCAAATAATTTTCACAATTTTTTATTTTGACACCTTCTGCGTGTTCAGTCATTTTTTGTACTACAGGAAAGCTTGCATGTCCTAACTTCCTGTGTAAGATGTGAGCACACTCATCATGAATTGGTTTACCTATTTTTGGTTTCTTTTCCTTGTATGTATTTTTGTGATCATGAGTTATTCTACACTCATCATTGTCACTGTTACTAACATTTTCATCATCTGCTTCAATACAATCTTCCATATTTGAATCAATGTTATGTAAACATCTTTCTTTAGTTATCAGATAGGGTAGACCTCCTTTTATCATTACAGTACCTACATTTGTTTTGTTCTTTTCTATAGTTGCTTTCCCCTTTGAGAAAACTATATTGATATCAGATTCTCTGCTTAATTTTATGGCACTTAGTATGTTGTGAGGTATTTCTGGGATTAATAATACCCCCTCTATTTTCCCTAGACCAGGCAAGGTCACATTTCCTTTGCCTAGTACTTGAACCTTTTCTTGATTAGCTACCTTTATCACAAACTTATCTTCTATAAATGAAGATAATATACTTTTGTTGTTGGTGGTGTGATTTGTTGCACCAGAATCAATAAGCCAATTGTTATTCTCATCCTGTTGTGTTCTGGTGCTGTCTTGTTTATTTAGCCCATTCAGTGACCCAGATTTCCTCTCTTTTGAATTTTCTTTACCCCCTCTACCTTCTTTGTAATTTGGTGGACTTCTATATTTGTGTCTATCTGTGGAAGATTGTCTGTAATTATATTTGCTCCTATATTCTGGCCTATGTCTCTCTCTTGAGACTTTGGGGCAGTCTCTTCTACTATGTTCCCTGGATCCACAATTGTAGCATCTAAAGGCCTCATTATGTTTATCTTGAAAGACTACTTTCCTAAAAGGTTTGTGGTCTGTTTGGTTACTGGATCGATTTTTTCTTGAATTGTCTTCTGCTATCAATTTGTTAGATAGACTTTCTATGGATAAATATCCCAAATTAATGGTATCTAAGTGTGACATAAAGCTATCCCATGATGGATCAAGTGAATTGATAATAACACTTTTCATTGTTTGATCTGAAATCACTTCCCCCCTCAATTGTAGCTCAGCTCTTATTTTGTTTAGATTTATCAAATGCTCACTTATAGAAACCCCTGGTTTTACTCTAGAGGAAAAGAAATCCTTAGACATTCTTGTGGTTGTAGCTACGCTATCGCTGTGAAATAGATTAAACATGCATTGAATTATTTCTGATACAGTTAGGTTTGGTTTGATGCTATGATACATTGCAGGAGACACGCTAGATATTATTATGAAAAATGCTCTATGATGTAAACAATCTATTTTTAAAGTCCAAGGTCTTCTTGGAGGGCTAGTTATAAAGAATAGTAAATTTTCTTTCATGAAAATAACCTGAAGCTGTTGATACCACTCTTGTAAATTAATGCCATCAATTCTAAGTTTTGGGAAGTCACTGGGTAAGTTACCTACATTATTCTGTCCATTACTTACAACCTGGGGCAGTCCGTGATCTCTCAAGTGCAGGAAATTACAGAACGGCATTGGGATGCTTGCAATGAGTCTGCGCGGTTCTCTGGCCAGTTCAAGTCCTTCTGGGTCGTCTACGTAGTTTCGCACATGCGCGTTGCTCATTTCTTCTTTGGTGGCGTCGTGGAAGGTTCTCTCTCTTTCAGCTCTCTCGATCCGCTCCTCCTCAGATGAGTCGGTCTCTGGCTCGGTTTTTGGGGTTCTGGTGGTGGCGACGGTTCTTTTTTTCTTTTTGTGTGCGTTGGCATTCGATCTTATCTGTGGTGTAGGGCGAAATCGGCATGGCTCTCTGGGCTCGGGCGTCGTCGCTTTCGAAGTCAGGATGGGAGCGTGCAGGTCTTGAGTCGCCGGTTTGATTTCTTGCTTCTTCGTAGATGTCTTGGTAATTTTCAGTCTTGGCCCAAAAGCAGCAAAAAGCGTTTTCATTGCTGATTTTACTTGAGATTTTGTTAAATCGTCTTCACTTTCTGATTTTGGATCATCTGAAGAGTTTGAGACTTCTTTCTCACTTTCTTCGTCTGATAGTGTTTTTCGC